TTATGGAAAGTCTTGCTGTTTCCATTGAACTTGGCTGGCCTTTTAGCATGGCCCCATCCTACTTTACACCAGCTGAGGATCGGCCACAGGAGCCCTTTTCCCCAAACGGTCGCTGTCATCGTTTTTGTCATTGTTCTGCCTTCGATGATGTTTTTCCACAGTGACATTAAAAAACAAGAAGAAGAAGATTTTGCCAATTTATTTACTCACTGTGTCTGGTGGGGATTATATAAGATACTTTCAGCCGGGATGTTGTCTTTTCCCTTACTATCTTGAAAACAGGATGGCTTTTGATCTTTCTTGATTGTTACTTGTGTTCAGTGAAGCAAATGGAACTGTCTAGTGGTTATGTGCCGAGCAGGGGAGTTAAATAGAAATATTTAGATGGGGGTAGGTAGAATTGAAAAACAGCTTGGAAGAAAAGTTGCAGGCTGTTTACAGTTGAAGAAGCAAAACATCTCATTGTTTGTATGTGTGCTTGATAGGTGGCATAACTTAAGGCCACCTTGATAAGTGTCATATCACAGTATGTCTAATATGGCCATTGCAATATCATAACACCCACATTATTCAAAAAGCACACTCATAAATGCTGAGAGGTTGTGGCAGGAAATGAAATCCAGAAAAGTACGGTAGATTAAACACCATGTGAACTGCCCTGAAATTAAAAGATAAAGGGCAATATGCTTATTTAATAAAATTTAATAACATTATTGTATATTCCCAAGAGTACTAAGTTTGCCTGTAATTGTTCTGATGGCCTGTGAGCCTTCAACATCTCTTACCTGGCAGCCACTGTGGAGCTTCTTTCTTTGTTTCACTCTCCCTTTTCCTTACTCCCTGACATGTGAAACTGTGCTATGATACCTTTCCAGGCACCAGCACCCAGTGGTGGCTGGGACTGATGTTGTGTAAGGTAGGAGGCCAACTGTAGGTGGGGCTAGAGCCAATGTGCTCCATCCTCCTTCTAAGTTCTACAAAGACAACACAGGGACCGAGGAGGAGCATATTGGCAGCCAGTGCCACCCCTTGGACTAGTAAGGAGGCAAGTGGGGGCTTCCTGAAAATAGACTAAGGTTGGTGGGCCAGCGGTTATAGCTGTGTTCTCTCCACACTGTTGGAGAGAGTATCAGCCCCAGAGTCAGAGCATTTTTTGTGTGGGGGAGGCACAAAGTGCCAACCAATTCTCCGTTCTCCAGAGGGAGAAGATGCAAAGGCCAACCCAAGGAAAGGCAAAGACAAGAGCCTTTCCCACCCCCATACAGAAAGTTGACTTGACATTTACTAGGGCTGCCACACGTATGGAATTTCCTTTTGCTTCCATTGGTCACAGCCACCTTGGGGTTTTATTTTCCAATAAATCTTTATATCTTATCCAGACATTAAACAATGCTTTCCTGACAATATGATTTTTGAATGCTTTGTGTGCTTTGACCTTATCATACCATAAATATGCACGCCATCCAAATACATTGTTAAAACCTTCTAAATCCAAAATGTCTGTGTTTTCAAGAAGTAGCCGTTCTTTCAACCAGCAAAAAGCTGCTGATTCATAGTAAAGTTTAAGGTCTGGCAGGGCAAATCCACCCCTTTCCTTTGCATCTGTTAGTATCTTAAATTTTATTCTGGGCTTCTTGCCCTGCCAGACAAATCTAGAAATATCTCTCTGCCACTTCTTAAAACAGTCCATCTTCTCCACAATTTGCAATATCTGAAATAAAAACAACATTCTCGGCAATACATTCATTTTTATCAGGAATTTCCCAAACATTATTGGGATTTCAAAGGTGGAATTGATGTCCAGGGAGAATTTCCGAAAGGCGGTGCTTTCTCTTGGATCTTAGGCAAGTCAATAGAAAAATCACGGGCTGGGGGAGCAATTTTGTAAAGGAAAAGCTCAACAACTTTGGTGTGTCCTGGTTTTTACTTAATGAAATATGGCAACCCTACGTTTACATAGCCCTTTATATAAGTTAACTGAAGAATAAGTATGTATGATAGGAATGAAATGACTGGCATTTTTTTGTTTCCTAAGAAAGGAATGTTAAGGATACAGCAAACAAGGCGATACCAAAACATGCACCAAAAGTTTCTTTTTCATGCCACGTAAACATTACTGAAACATGAACCATGTTTGTGAAACCCTCTTGATTTTTCAAATGCCTTCTTCTAGTCTTTGAAACCTCTCGAAGTAAAGACATCTTATTTTTACATATTTGGCTGGAGGTTTAGACAAGCATAGACAGAAACTGTATCAGCTGGTAGAGAATATTCTAACCATTCATAATTCTGAAACCATTCTTGTTGGAAATTACAACCCCACACTGTTTTCTGGGTATGAATGAAGTTAAATCTGTTGAATTGTCTCACCCCTTACGAGAGATCCTCAGGAATACCAGTCTCAAAAGTTTAACTTTGCCTTTAGCTCCAGTTCTCTTTCACCTGTGGTCTGTCTCTGCATTCTGATTCATCACGAACTGAATTACTTTGGTAATGACAGTGAGCTTCTGAGGTTGGCTTTGATGCTGGGTTAGTTACCTCAGGTTTAAATTCCACTTGAAAAACAAACTCATCTATATTCCAAGTTTAGGGAAGGACATGTGGATAGCAACTGGAATTTTTTAAACTGGTTGCTGAGTCGATTTTTATGTGTAGAAACCCTAAAAAGGTCTCATGTTGAGCTGCAAAGATTAGGAAAATAAAAATAGGCCTTTGTTACACCCTAGGTTTCTAGTCTGTCAGCTATCCATAGTGTGCACAGCAGTGTTTCTGTTCGCCTACAGCTGTTTTCATCTTTCCCCATCAAGTATTTAAGAAAGAGAAGAAAAATAGCCACTATAATTTGAATGTAGTGAGTGTTTCAAAAGAGTAACAGGTAAATAGTAGGGTTGTTTCCCCCCCCCCCCAGATCACTTTAACTCTTTATCTCACCTTTTAGCAGTAACCCCACAATGCTGCTCTGCTAATTGTAATAACTGCAGAATAAACAAACTCTTCTCGCTGCAGGCAAACAAGCATGCATCTTGATTGCAGGCTGCATTGAGAGCAAAAACTGAAACTGAAAAGCAGAGCAAAGGAAGGTTGAATGGGTGGAGTCTTAACTCTAGCCCAAAATACAAAGTTCTAACGTTTAACTCTACAGGCTGTGTTTTTTGTTTTTCCCCCAGGATCACTAAATTATTAGAGGGTGATTGTGATCACGAAAAATCCACCCTCTGTCAGGGAAAGTATTGAGTAAGCAGACTTTTGGAGGATCTCCCAGATGAAGTTTTGTAGGGCCCTATTCTAAAATTGTTCCCCCCCCCACATACATATTTGTTGTTGTTTAGTCATGTCCGATTCTTCGTGATCTTCCACTGCCTCCCGCAGCTTGGTCAAACTCATGCTGGTAGCTTCGAGAACACTGCCCAACCATCTCGTCCTCTGTCGTCCCCTTCTCCTTGTGCCCTCCATCTTTCCCAACATCAGGGTCTTTTCCAAGGAGTCTTCTCTTCTCATGAGGTGGCCAATGTATTGGAGCCTCAGCTTCACGATCTGTCCATATATATATATATATATATATATATATATATATATATATACAGGAACAATTTTAGAATGCACACACACATATAGACACTGGGCAAAGTCTAGGAGCTTGCAGTATTCCTCTGAATACCAGCTGCTGGCAGTCCAAGGTGGGGGCAGAACTGTTGCACTGAGGTCCTCTTTGTGGACTTCCCATAGGCATCTGGTTGACCACTGCAAGAAGAGGATGCTGGTCTGGGGCCCCCTTTGGCCTAATCCAGCAGGGGTCTTCTTATGTTGTTGCTGTTTTTACAATTATTATTACACTTTTTCCCCTGACACGACTCAAGGCATCTTACCTATACAAATAAAGGTACCCCTGCCCGTACGGGCCAGTCTTGACAGACTCTAGGGTTGTGCGCTCATCTCACTCAAGAGGCCGGGAGCCAGCGCTGTCCGCAGACACTTCCGGGTCACGTGGCCAGCGTGACAAGCTGCATCTGGTGAGCCAGCGCAGCACACGGAACGCCGTTTACCTTCCTGCTGGTAAGCGGTCCCTATTTATCTACTTGCACCCGGGGGTGCTTTCGAACTGCTAGGTTGGCAGGCGCTGGGACCGAACGACGGGAGCGCACCCCGCCGCGGGGATTCAAACCGCCGACCATGCGACCGGCAAGTCCTAGGCACTGAGGTTTTACCCACAGCGCCACCCGCGTCCCACCTATACAAATAAGAACCGCTAAAAGCATAGAAAAAACAACCATTGAAAATCATTATGTTGTTATGAATGAGGAGCAAGATGCCATAAGTAAGTTGTTTAACAGACATGCAGTTCCAAAAGCAACATATGCGTATCTTCTTTTGCATCTAAGAATCCTGAATATGCAATACCATGTGAGGGAACACATACAAATCAGATGGTTATACTCAGTGCTATTTTTCTAGAAAAAGAGGTGCCGGAACTCACCATGAATGCCTCCCTTGTTCTCTTAGAATGGTAATGGCGCCCACCTGAGAGGTGCTGGAACAGAGTTCCAGTGAGTTCCGACCGGAAAAAAAAGTATTGGTTATGCTGAGATATCTTTAGCACATTCCCAGATTGATTCTGCATTCTTGGGGAAGTATTATTTGGTACCCTTGTTTCACACACATGCACTGCCACCAAACTGAAATTTCATTGCAATGACATTGAGATATAAATAAAATGGGGTCATAGGGACTGGAACGACCTTCCCAAGTGTAGCCTGTGGGCTTTTCTGCATGAGATCTTGAGTACTTAAAAGCATGACCTTTTGGCACTTGAACTCAAAGGACAAAGGGCTGGTTATCATCAAGGCTTCCCACATAATAATGAACCCAGGCACAGAATGCTTCTGCTCTCATTGGCAGAAAGACCCTGAAGTAGGGGAGAATCATAGAATCATAGAATTGTAGAGCTAGAAGGCACCCTGAGGGTCATCTTGTCCAATCCCCTGCAATGCAGGAATTCTGCCCACAGCCATCCTTGGGTGGGCTTGAACCGCCAACCTTCTGGCTAATAGCCAGGCACACTGACCCATTGTGCCACAGCTGTGAGTGTGCGAAGTGGAGCAAAAGGCCTTTGCAAATGTAAAACCAGAACAAGGTATTTGTGCAGATGTCTTTTTCTGCTTTAGGATGGTTGGGCCTTCAGATGGTCATTTCCAAAATAAGATCTGGAGTAGGAGTTCTTGAGCCCCAAATCCACTGTAGTCACTGGCGGAGGAAGAGGAGTGGGGGGGGAGCGCACCACCCCCGGCAGCGCGATCCCCAGGGTGCCATTGCAGCTGCCCCCCCCAGCTGCGTTGGGTGCCCCAACCCCAGAACACGCACCCCACCACAGCCCCGCCCCACCTGTTCTCCGCCACCCGGTGCTGGAGCATGAAGCTCCGCCACTGACTGTAGTCTGTTGCTAGAACCATATCTGGGATCTGTAATGCTGTAAGCAGGAATCCCTGCTCTGCTAATTAGGCAAACACAGGAGGAGAAAGGCTGCAGACGCAGGAGGAGAAAGGATGCATACCTGGCCTGACCAGCCCGAAGCCTTGTCCTGCTTGCTAAGCAAATGAGGTGATGTTCAGGACTGGCACCAGTACATGCCATCCTTGAGTAGTTGCAGGACCCCAATGCTGATGCCTGTCATGGACTCTTAATTCCCTGCCCCACCGGCACTCTGCAGAGTGCCAATTGCCTAGGTCTAGTCATCATTTTAACTCACCACAATGCTCCAATCTAGCATAAATTTACAGCATGGCTAGACCCAGTACTACTCTGCCACCAGAACCGGGAACAGTCACCAGGCTACCAGAGTACCCTTTGCCCAGAGCCACCTCAGCATAGATAAGGCAAGAACATATGCAACTGCCTTGCACCAAGTTAGACCATCGATCCACTTAACTCACTATTATCTGAGGTGCCTGGCTGAGGCTCTCCATATTTCAGGCGGATGTCTCTCCCACACAGGGATGGAAGCTTGGTGCTTCCGCGTGCAAAGTAGATGCTCTGCTGACTGAGCTGTAGCCCTTTCCCGAGGTGCATGAAGAGGTTCTGAAGTCTAAGCACTGTCAGTCCTAAGCAGTAGGCTTAGTCCATGAGATGCCTAGTTCAACATGGCAAATCCTGGTAACTTCCACAGAAGCCCCTTTCTCTGGGGAAGGTCCATAGCTTAGTGCCAGAGAATCTGCTGTACATGTAGACTATCCCACGTTCAATCCCTGCTGTCTCCCTGCTGCGACAGACCCCTGTCTGAAACCCCAAGGAGCTGTCTTATACCGAGTCAGACTATTGGTCTATCTAGCTCAGTATTTTCTACCTTGTCTGTCAGTTGTTTTCCAGGGTTTCAGACAGGGGCTTATCCAGTCCTACCTAGAGATGTTGGAGGTGGCATCTGGGACCTTCTGCATGCAAAGCAGATATTCTGCCACTGAACTGCGCCCCTTCCTTGAAAGCAGTTTCTCAGCAGTGAAAGCAACCATGTAGACATCTGGCCGTGCCATGATGGCAGTGCTAAGATGAAGTAGCAAAAGAAAAATTAACCACCCCTTTAATTGTAGATGAGTTACACATGATCTAATAGAGCAGTGGTTCTCTTCTGGGTTGCAGACCACTTCGAGAATCTAATGAAAGCTATGGGGCCCCCTTCCTTGAAAAATATACACAAACATTTGTCTACAATTTATTTTATTGCATTGGAAAAATCATTTATATCTGCACCTGGTTCATGATCCTTCTGAGGCCCACAGGTTAAGAACCCCAGTAGTATTAGATATGTGGTTATGTAGGAGATGTTTTCTTCTGTACCAGTTTTCTTCTGTACCAGTACAAGTCAATCAATTTCTTGGAAAGTGAACTGGAAGTTACTCAACTTTTCTGTTTCATCACATCAACAACTTTCCACATCATATCCTATTAGAATCAGGTTGAATTAGTGTTAGTTGTCATCATTAAGGTATGAAAGACTGATCACATTAGAAAGTGTCAGACTGCATTAGTTGAAGCAAATGCTGAAACAATAAGATTGAAGGAGGGGGGTGTATCACTCATTGCAGTGTTGAGCCTCATTAGTTCAAGACACCAGCATAATAAGATGGGAATAGTTGAGAGGGGAGATCACTCTCTTCACTGGAAGCAGAAGTCCTCCTTTTGAATGTAGGAATGAGATCTTCGGGTCTGGTCAAGATCAGGACAGTATGCCAGAGTATGAGAGAGGGAGAGAGAGAATTGATCTCCTGAACCTCAAGGATCTGGATCCCTCTACCACTCATTGAAAAAGTGGCTCCAACAATCAAGAAGATGGTTTCTGCACGTGCTGTAGAAGGAAGCAAGGGGCAGATGGGGCTTGTCAACCTGGGAAGGGAACCCATCTATGAGAAGGAAAACTCTGATCCTAAACCTGTGGTCTTTGTTGGAAGCCGCCCAGAGTGCCTGGGGAAACCCAGCCAAATGGGCGGGGTACAAATAATAAATTATTATTATACTCATTCAGGAGAAATGCTTTGGGATCAAACCCTGAGGAAAAATGCATACCCGCTGCTTTACAGAACATCTTCGGGAGAAGAAGGGACAAAGCAGTAAACCCTACACAAATCCAGAGTGGAGTCCCTAAAATGGTTGGACAGCATCTTATAAGCCTCCTTCTGGCAACTCCTGCAGCCCACTTGGTGTCAAATGTATATTGCTCTGCTTTCTTTTCGACCACATCAGCGAGGCTGAGACTTGTTGTCTGGGCAACCCAGGGATCTCCTTACACACTGCCCAGGCTTGCGTCACAGAGAGGTCACTTCGGTGCTGCTAACGCAGCAAAAACAATACGGGAAGCAGCGTTTGCAAGTTACTGGTCTCTGTAGACACAACAGGTGCTGTGATTCTCCAGTGGTTTGACTTCATCTCAAGAGGTGCACTCCATTTCTCTTGAGATAGAGAGATGACAACAATGCAGTGCATTGGAAGCAGGAGTCCTTACTTCAAATTTTGGAAACTGGGCAGTTGGTGTTGGAACTGGAACTGCATGGATCATTCAATTTGCAACTTAAGGGTTAATTCTGTTGGCGTTACAGTCAGCCAGTTGTGTGGGTGGGTGTTGCTTAGGAACCAGGCAGAGTGGCATGATATTCAGTGAGGTAGCATGTGCTCTGGCTGTGTAGTTCTGAAGGAGTTCTTCCTCTGTACGCTTAGTTGAATGTCTCCCTGCTATGTACAAGGCCTGAACTAAGAAATACAAAACCTCTCTGTTCCTTTCTTCTCAGATTATACACTGTGTTTTGTTCAGCCTCCCAAGTAGAATGGCACAAATACTTTTCTCTCTGGACTCCATCCATAATCTTTAAGTGATTTTGCCAGCAGCAGAAACAAATTTTCAAGGAAGGCCTGGTCAATATCAGAAGAAAAGGCCAGAGCATGGGAGCATTGACCTCCTAAGCTTCTAGGATCTGGGTTCCTCTTCCAATGATTGGAAGCAGGATTCCTGATTTCAAATTTAGGATGGGGATTTGGGCAGTAGAAATGAGATCTTGGGACTTGATCAAAACCGGGACAGTATGCCAGAATATGGAGTTGTTGATCTCTTGAACCTCAAGGATCTAGATCTTTCTCCCATTCTTCATTTATAAATCCAATTCTTCTACTGGTAATCAGTAACAATACAGAGTTGGAAAGCAAAATGCCTGAAGACTGGTTCACATTTGTAGACATATCACTCACCGTTTCCATAGGTGAATGTTGCAACTGAAAAGTGAGATCATGTGAAAGTTCTGTTGACCTGTGTGGTGGCCTGTCCAAGTCACCATTAGATGCTGCATCCTCAACAGAGAAACTTTCATGTGTTACCTTGCCCAGAGGTAATCCTGGATTAGGTGGACAGCATACTTCACAGTTTTGAGGTTTTTGTCAGATGGGGTTAGAACAAGAATGGGGAAACTGTAGCCTTCCATATATGCTGGATTCTGAATCCCATCATCCTTGAATATTGGGCTATGCTGGCTGGGGCTGATGGGAGTTGGAGTCCAACAACATATGGAGAACCCCCAGCTCCCCATCCCCAAGCACATTAACCATGGGTTGGCTGGAATCTGAAACAGAGAAGAAAAGGCCACCTGTAAAAGGTGGGTAGGGGGGCGGGTTGTGCAAGCAGTACTAAACTGCATTAAAAAGGTAAAGGGGATTTCAAGGGGATTTTCTTCCATGGAAAAACTTCTTCCGAACTGAACATGGAGAGCTTTTGCATCTGGAGTCTCACAGCATCTGGAGGGCGCAGTTTCTCCATCCCTGGGTTAGAAAGAAGGAATCTGAAGCTCTGGTGGGAAAAGGAGACTAGCTTAAGAAACTCCGGTTCGGCTATTGCTTCACAAAGGCTGCGTAGTTTAGTGGGTGGATAGAAAATTGTCATTGGGAGATAGGGACAAGTGAACATTTTAAAAAATGTATGTGGTGTGTTACGGGAGCTGTCACGAACCCTACAATTATGTGTGATGATCTTGCCTTTCAGAAGATCAGGATGGAACAGTGACAATTGAATAGTTAATGGCTATTTAATAATGAAACCCTTTTGTTAATCTTCAGTAAATGCAGCACACACATGTAAGCAGATTATGTAAAAAAAATAATGCTTTTTTTAAACCACTAAATCCCACTTTAGGGAGGAAAAGCTTTTAATACGCTGGTTAAAGAGTCTAGTCATGCTAGATTAGCATTGTTATACATGAATAATAAAAATAGCCGGGCCTGATTAATGTCACTTAAAGTTTCTTAAAATGAGCGATATAACTCTTTGAATTAAGCAGCTTGAACTGCAGCTAAGGATTCCTGGGGAATGATTTGTATTAAAAAGTTAAGACCTTCACTTCTTTTTCTAAAGGGAAATCTATCATCCATGCAGGAATTGCATACCATTCACTTGAAAGCATGAAAGGGAAGGCACTTCACAGGCCATAAAGCGTAATAAAAGAAGATCTAAAATTGACTTTCATGTTAAACAGATTACTTACGTTTTTTTCCTTCCAGAAAGGGACAGGTATGGGGAAGCTTCCTTGACTCTTTATCACCATCCAGACCTATAGT